ATGCGCCTGGATTCTCCAACCGTTTTTTCTGTAGATGCAAGTATTTAAAGAATTACTCAAAATACACGAAACAAGCAAGGTATTTAAACTGGAAGCCAATGTAATTTTCCCCCAAAAGGCACCCAGGCCAGCCACGTATAAAGCGGCTACAGACCATGTCCCAGTCTTTGTCCCAGAAGATTTCTTCTGTGTTTCCTTGAAAATCACTTAATAATAAACTCCTAAAGGTGCACAATGCAGGAAGGCATGACAGAAGTTGATGCTCAGGTTTAACTTAGATCAGGCCTGAACACCTCTTTACCTCCTGTACATGCTTGCCAGTCTTGAGCTTGTCCTGAACGCAAGACCAAGTAGGTCTGTAGTCGGTAAGGCAGATGCTCCTTCCCCCTACAATAAGAAACTGCAACTTCTAGATTACTTGGGTGATTTTTGTCTAGCTCTTGATCATTCGAATCTTCTCCTGCGGTCTGGGGTTTATATAGAATTATCCTTTTCTACATACATTATTTAGTGTATACCAGCAACAAGTAAAATTGCTATTACACTGCTGCTTAGCTACCCTGAAGTTTTGCAAGTCTTCCCTACTCCTAGCACACTCAAATTAAATATAGCACTGCCAACACAGTCATCTTGGAGCAAAGTCTAAACCCTCCCAGTTCTAGTAAACAACCTTATGAAATCTTCAGCAATTCCAGTATTTAAACAAACAACCTCTTATTTTTACTTTTTATTTTCTACACTTCCCACAATTTTAACTGATGCCTAGAACTACCATACTGAAACATAGCGTTTCTTTTTGGGAGGAAAAAAAATTGCCATTGATTCCATGTTTCATAAGGAAAAGAGCTGAAGCTGGACTTGAAGGGACATGGTCAAATCTGCTAAAAAAGACAATTGTGAAACACAAACACAACTTTTGCTGAACAGCAAAACACTTTCCCTCATAGAACATTGTGTTTCTAAGGTGTAACTCATAAAGTGAGTTCACCAATGTAATGTATTAATTAGAAAGTTGAGAGTTACTCTATACCTTAACAGGGACTACTGCTGTCTGCACCATGTTCCTGAAACGTCCAACAGAAGGGTCCACATCCTCTGTAAAGACAAGAACAGCAAAGCCTTCAGTAAGAATACAGAAAAAGACAGAACATCTGTCAGGTAAAGGAACCTATATGAAGAATTGGCACATGGACTTTCTCAAAGCCAGTGCTCTAGTATCTCTCAGTAAGTACAAGCATGCCCAAATAAAGAAAGGAGCTAAGGGGACACCTAGTGGCTTTGTCTCAACGTGGGTTCATCAGACATTCTAGTAAGGAAGGCTTCCCGTCAAATGGAGAATGGAGAAAGGGAACAGATGGATGGCTAGTTTGCACTGATCAGACAGACTGGAGTTCTGGGCTGAAAGCTGCTGCTGACAAGGCACTGCACGTGCTCAAAGGCTCAACAGCGAGCCCGAGAACCTCGGGGGACCCTGAATGAGCAGTCAGAAGAATTCAATATAGAGTGTCTGAAAAAAAAAATCACCTTTTTTGTAACATGCATGGCTGCTGTCTACATTAGGATGTTCTGAGCACTAAATTGTATAACTTTATAAATTAAAAAGGTTATTCTGTGTGGCATACACTGACAAAAGAAACTAGCTCCAGATGATATTTAAAAACACACACTCATTAAAAAGCTACTCTTATTAACAGGAATATTACCCATACAAAATACCATTAATAGGAGTGCCATTAATATAAAACAGCTAAGGGAGAAAAACGACCAATTAGAAATTGGATACATCTTCAGAATCATTGTTTTGAATGAGAACGACTTGTTTGAGATATGCAGACACGTAGCAAAAAACCTCTGAGCTTGAGACAAACATCCATTAGGCAACAGGTAAGGAAAGCGTTAAGGGACAGATGAAAAATAAGTTCAGTTCCCATTCAGATTCTAAAGGCGGCAAAAATTTAAAACACTTTCCTCCTTTTGGAGCCGTGAGATTTTTCCAACATCTGATAGAATTTTGAACAATGAAGATGAGTGTGATATCCCTGAACTGTACAAATCATTTTACAGGTAGAAGAGAAGAAACAGAGAGAGAGGTCAAAGAGTTAAGTCAGACATGTGGCAGCTTCTCTGAAATAGCACATCACAAATACTGACTGCCAAATTTCTGTTCTCCTTATTCATATACAGCCATGAGGAATCCTTATGAGACTACTGGAAGGAGGGCCTTAAGGGCATCAACTAAAAATTAAAGCCAACTACTTACCCGGATTGATGATTTCATCATCATCACTGAACGTCACTCTGGAGTTCTTCCGTTTTCTCTTTGGTCTCTGAATATCCAAGTTCCCTTCCTCAATGGTTAGCGTGGAAATTCTTTTGTTGTGGGCTGTATTAAACTCTGTCAGGTTCTAATGACAAATTTGGAGATGAAATACTTTAAGCAACCAGTATATGAAGTCTGATTTAATCATGTGATTGTGCATAGCAAAAGAACACAGAACACTGTTTAGCTTCAACTTTAGATGCCCGGGAAGAAAGTGCTGCAGTGCTGCAACAGATTGCCCAGAGAGGTTGTGGAGTCTCGGTCTGCAGAGATATTCAGCACTTGACTGAGCACAGCCCTGGGCAAGCTGCTCTAGCTGGCCCTGCCTGAGCAGGGGGGCTGGACTAGATGATCTTGAGAGGTTCCTTCCAACCTCAACAGTCCTGTGAATGCCACAGACTGCTGCCTCCCTCTTGAGTAGCTAGCTGGAGAAAACCAGGTAGCATTCACGGTTATCTGGCAATGGGGAACAGTATGGGAAATCACCCCTGACCTGGGGTAATGTTAGTTGGAGAGCGCATACTCCCTGGCGAGCCTTTGTGAGAAGACCATTGGAATGGGAGGATTATTAGGTCACAGATTCTGGGAAGAAGCATGATCACAGGGTTATCATGGCAGAATGAGATGGTCTGTGTGTATCTGCCAGCAGAAGACACCTCAGACTATCTTCCATGTCAAGAAGTTAAGAACCTGAACCTAAGCAAACCAGAGGGGAATGCTATCCGTTTAGCTGGACATGCCTTGTCCAGGCACATCTAGGTACAATGTGCCATCATACTCACATCAAGTTCGGTCTCCTCCTCTGGCAGGCCCAGCAAGCCCTTCAGCTCTTCATCTTCACCGCCCATTTTCTCATCTCCTTTAACTGCTGATGGCAGTGTCTGGGGCTTCTCTCGCAGAGTATATGCCCGTGTAGAAGCGCCAAATGAAACTGTGGAGTCAATGGGTATCTGTTGGGGTTTGTGAGGTTCCAAACGGATATGACCCAAGAATGTGCCATGTGCTGAGAACATCAAAATGCAAAATAGTCTGTTAGTCATCAGCTTGGGCTCACAGTATTCGAGTTCAGGTCCTGAGAAGTTCAGAAACTGTACACGGCTGCTCTGGGATAAAAGTCAGTAAGGTACTGCTGAAAACATTAGCTATGTACATTTTACCTACCATCTTACAAACTAAGATAACTCACATGATAAGTGCTCAAAAAGTCATGGAAATAAATGACAAACACCATTTACTTTCTGGATACTTGTAGATCCCAATGTACCATGTCTGGAACTATGCCCTCAGTGGAAAAAACAGTATGTCAGGTTTTAGATCTTGTGAAACCACCCTCAGAAGAGAAAGCTTCATTAAAGTTGTAAAGGGAAGGCCAAGTCACTTTCCTCCTCTCCCTTAGCCTCTGTTTTAAACACCAAGTGAAGCAGATGTAAGCTGACTGGAGCAAACACTCCTTTGCTCCTAACCTTGGCCAATCTTTCACTAGGATGCTAATTCAGATCATAGTCACCTATCCACACAGCGCAAACAACAATGAGAAGAAGAAAGTGTCTCAGATTCATAAGTGTTCAAGCACTGAAATATTGTACTTCTATCTGGTTAAATGTCACACTACTTACTGCTGTTTAGATCTATGAGGAAAACCCTCTTGAGATGTTTGTGATAGACCAAGGCAGCATGGACCCGAGAGCAAGACTGGTGGTCAATGGTAAAATCGCACAGGTCAGGATTTCTCCCAAAGAGATAGTATTTCTTCTCATCAATGATGAGTTTCTGAGGTAGAATATCAAACAGAGAAGCATATTAGACTCCTACGAACTTTTGGATCTTCCTGAAAAAATTCAAGAACATGAATAAACAGAGCAAAGTCAAAACAAAGCATTAACATGTAATCAATATTTCCGTTTTGTCTGACACTGTTCAATACAGAAACTCAAATATTCTCTTTGTAAAATCAGAACAGCTGAATATGGAAGAGTCCCAGCTATTCTCTTCTTTAACAGCCAATACAAGACAGCCTGGGAAGGACAATGACTCTTCGAAGCATGAGACTGTCTCACACAAGAGATTCTCCCTCACATCTGCTCCCAATAATTTTTACATATTCCTTGAGGCAGATGACCTCAGGCCTTCTCTAAGCTAGGAATCTATGCTAAATGAACTCCAGTCTGATACAGAACACCAAAAATATGTTTCTGTATAGAACTGGACATGCAGAAAATTTCAGACCTTTATAATAAAGATGTAAAATTCTAGTGAATATGTACCGTGATGTGAATCCATACCAGTCTGTTCAAGTATGCCATTAATTCTAGGCATTCCTTCTTAATTCATCCTAGTCCTAATCTCTTAGATCATATGTACTGTACTATCAGTTACATAAACCATCCCTGAAAAGCAAAGGTACAGGTTGACACAGTCCTACGGGGTACACAGCATACTTCTATTAACAATGTTGTTGAAAGGGACTCCTTGCACCTACATGCTGAAGTACCTAAGCAGTGTAGCCTTCCTTCTCACCGCATCCCAAGACCTTAATCTAAACTGCGTTCTCTTGCTTCCAGCTGCACAAGTCAAAAGCTGGCAATACAGATTTGTTAATAGATTTTTGCTTTTTGAAACATTTACCAAAGCCCATACAACATCTCAATATCATGACCAAAGGAATGCTGATGATGCATTTTCCATCAGAAAAAAACCAGATCTTAGCTCAGGAAAACACTACTTTCATGACATGGTCTGAGCTGAAATAACATTTTGCTTGCTAGAGCACAAGGATTTCTCCCCTCTCCCTCCTTCCATTCCCAGCTATACAATCCTCTCCTCAATCACACTGCCACTCATCTGAGCAAAGTTTTCAACTTGCAAAGCAGTTTTTTGCTGCGTTAGTCTTCTACTGTTTTAGTGAACTGGATCAGTTTGCCTTCAATCAGATGCGTACCCCAGCTGGCTCTAGTGAAGCAATGGATTATATGCTCAGGATGGTGTGATGGGGAAGGACCTCCCTTCCCAGGAGTAGCATTCATGTCAATCAGTTGTGTGCTCCTCAGTTTCGCCAGCTGTATAAACCACATGCTCGGCTACAAAGAGCCAATGCACCAGACTAGTTACAAGCAGTTCATTTGGGTTCTTTTTTTTTTTTTTTTGTTTTGAGCTATCAGAAAGATTGACACAATGAGCACCTAGATAGTTACTTATTCTGCGGCACTACCAACTCATACAGAAAATAAGGAGACAGCAGGGAATAAGACATAGTCTTTGTATGAATGGATTGAGAGCAGCCCTGAGAAGGACTTGGGGGTGTTGGCTGATGAGAAGCTCAACATGAACAAGCAATATGTGCTCACAGCCCAGAAGGCCACCAGCGCATCCTGGGCTGCATCAAAATAAGCGTGCCCGGCAGGGGGGAGAAGCGTGCCCGGGACGGATCCCTGGGAGGGGATTCTGCCCCTCTGCTCCGCCCTGGGGAGACCACACCTGGAATATTGCGTCCAGCTCTGGAGCCCTCAACATAAGAAGGACACGGACCTGTTGGAGCAGGTCCAGAGGAGGCCACGAAGATGCTCTGAGGGCTGGAGCCCCTCTGCTGGGAGGACAGGCTGAGAGAGTTGGGGTGGTTCAGTCTGGAGAAGAGAAGGCTCCAGGAACACCTTATAGTGGCCTTCCAGGCCTTCCAGTATCTGAAGGGGGCCTAGCTCTGGAGCCCTCAACATAAGAAGGACACGGACCTGTTGGAGCAGGTCCAGAGGAGGCCACGAAGATGCTCTGAGGGCTGGAGCCCCTCTGCTGGGAGGACAGGCTGAGAGAGTTGGGGTGGTTCAGTCTGGAGAAGAGAAGGCTCCAGGAACACCTTATAGTGGCCTTCCAGGCCTTCCAGTATCTGAAGGGGGCCTACAAGAAAGCTGGAGAGAACTTTTCACAAGGGCATGTAGTGATAGGACAAGGGGGAATGGCCTCAAAGTGGAAGAAGGGAGATTTAAATTAGATATTGGGAAGAAGTTTTTCACTATGCAGGTGGTGAGCCCCTGGCGCCGGTTGCCCCAAGAAGCTGTGGCTGCCCCATCCCTGGAGGTGTTCAAGGCCAGGTTGGACGGGGCTTGGAGCAACCTGGGCTGGTGGGAGGTGTCCCTGCCCAGGGCAGGAGGGTGGAAGGGGATGGTCTTTAAGGTCCCTTCCAACCTAAAGCATTCTATGATTCTATTTACACTTTCACAGGAGCATGAATGACACTGCAAGCCAGAACCTGGGCAGAATTAAGGAAGACTGTAAAACCCTGGGGGTGCAAATGAAAAATACTGGTGCCCAAGTTATCTTTTCCTCCATTTTACCAGTTGGAGAAGCAAGAAATAGACATATAATACATATCAACTTCTGGCTATGTGGCTGGTCCTGTCGCGAGGATTTTGGCTTTTATGACAATGGGGGATTCTTTGATGACTATAACCTGTTAGGGAGGGTTGGAATCCACCTGTCTAGAAGAGGCAAGGGAATTTTTGGCAGCAGGCTGGCCAACTTATCCAACTGGGGAATAAGCCAGGCCAATCAGAGCAGTGACAAATGTTCCTTGGCTGCCTCCCAAGACAAGAATCAGAAGGCCAACCACCTCAGGGGTGTGTATGGTTGTGGTGGATCCTCTCGCACCCCTCCAAGAAAACCTGCACACTCGATTTCCTCTCTGAAATGCTTATACACCAATGCAACAGTATGGGGAATAAGCAGGAAGAACTAGAGATCGGTGTGTGGTCGCAGGGCCATGATCTCGTTGCAATTATAGAGACAGGGTGAGATAGCTCACGACTGGAATGCTACGTACTTTTTAGGAAAGACAGGCCAGCGAGGCGAGGTGGTGGAGTTGGTCTTTATGTGATACAGCAACTGGAATGCATCGAGCTCTTACTAGAGGTGGATGAAGGAAGAGCTGAGAGCTTATGGGTAAGAATTAAAGGGCAGGTTAATATGGGTGACACTGTTGTGGGTGTTTAGACCACCGGATCAGGAAGAGAAAGTCGACAAGGCCTTCTACAGACAGCTGAAAGTAACCTCATGATCACAGGTCTCAGTTCTCACAGGGGACTTCAACCACCCTGATATTTGCTGGAAAGGTGACACAGCCAGGCACACACAGTCCAAGGAGGTGTCTGCAGAGCACTGATGATAACTTTTTGACACAGATAGTGGAGGAGCCAAAGAGGAGAGGTGCACTGCTGGACCTTGTGCTAACAAACAAAGAAGGACTGGTTGGGGATGTAAGGGCTGGGGGAAGCCTTGGCTGCAGTGATCATGCGATGGTGGAGTTCAGGATCCTGTGCAGAAGAAGCAGGGTAATAAGTAGGATCACATCCCTGGACTTCAGGAGAGCTAACTTTGGCCTCTTCAAAGACCTACTTGGAGGAATCCCATGGCTTAGGACTCTAGAAAGTAAGGGGGTCCAAGAGAGCTGGTTAACATTCAAGTATCACTTCCTCCAAGTTCCAGATCGGTGCATCCCTATGAGTAAGAAATCAGGCAAAGGAGGCAGGAGACCTGCATGGATGAGCAAGGAGCTTCTGGAAAAACTCAAAAGGAAGAAGGAAGTTTACAGAATGTGGAAAAAGGGGCTGGCCACTTGGGAGGAGGATAGGAACGTTGTCAGAGCATGCAGGGATGCAACAAGGAAGGCTAAGGCCCATTTGGAATTCAATCTGGCAAGGGATGTCAAGGACAATAAGAAGGGCTTCTTCAAGTACATTAGTAGCAAAAGGAAAACTACAGAAAATATGGGCCTGCTGCTGAATGAGGTGGGTGCCCTGGTGACGGAGAATACAGAGAAGGTGGTTACCGAATGCTTTGCCTGCCTCACCTTTTATTGCTAAGGCTGGCCCCAGGAATCCCAGACCCTGGAGGCAAGAGAAAAAGTCTGGAGAAAGGAAGACTTTCTCTTGGTTGAGGAGAACTGGGTTAGAGATCATTTAGGCAAACCTGACACCCACAAATCCACGGGCCCCGAAGGGCTGCGCCCCAAAGTGCTGAGGGAGCTGGCAGATGTTACTGTTAAGCCACTTTCCAATATCTTTGAAAGGTCATGGAGAACAGGAGAGGTGCCTGAGGACTGGAGGAAATCCAATGTCACTCCAGTCTTCAAAAAGGGCAAGAAGGAAGGACCCAGGAAACTACAGGCCAGTCAGTCTCACCTCCATCCCTGAAAGGTGGTGGAACAGCTCCTTCTGGATGTCACCTCTAAGCATGCAGAGGAAAAGAAGGTTATTGGGAGTGGTCAACATGAATTCTCCAAGGGGAAATCATGCTAGACCAATCTGATAGCCTTCTATGACAGCACAACTGGCTGTGTGGACAAGGGGAGAGCAGTGGACACTGTCTACCTTGACTTCAGCAAGGCTTTTGACACTGTCTCCCATAACATTCTCATAGGTAAACTTAGGAAGTGTGGGTAAGAGGAGTGGACAACAAGGTGGATTGAGAACTGGCTGAATGACAAAACTCAGAGGGTTGTGATCAATGGTGCCAAGTCTAAGTAGAGGCCTGTACCTCGCGGTGTTCCCCAAGGGTCAGTACTGGGTCTGTTCTTGTTCAACATATCCATCAACAACCTGGATGAGGGGACAGAGCGCACCCTCAGCAAGTTTGCTGATGACACAAAACTGGGAGGGGGTGGCTGACACACTAGGAGGCTGTGCTGCCACACAGCAAGACCTGTACAGGCTGGAGAGTTGGGCAGAGAAGAACCCAATGAAGTTCAACAAGGGCAAGTGTAGGGTCCAGCATCTGGGGAGGAA